GCTTTAATATTTCGTCTCTATGCAGTTAAAGCAGTACGATTGCTTTGAAAAAAGTTCAGAATTTCCAAAATATGTTAAAATAAAGAAAATATTTTTTTTGTTCAAAAAAAATTTTTTTTTTCAAAAAAAGTAATTTTTTGTTTCTCAAAAAATCTAAATTTTTCGAAGTAATTGTTTTTCTAATTCAAATTTTTGGTACAGGAAGTTCCAGCAATTTGCTTTGAGGCAATCGTATGAAAAGAGTGAACGTTATTGCTATTTAGAATATTTTAAGGCTTGTAGTGATTGAAAACCCTAAATATTAATTTTATTTCATAACATTTATTTTAACCGACTGACGAATATACTCGTCATAGAGAATTTGCAGAATTTTGAGTAATAACGTGTATATTCGTCAAGTGTTTGAAAACAGTGAACCTTTGCTATTTAATTTGATTTTTTTTACAAAAACAAATTATATTGTGAAATATCGGGTTCTTTTGCATATTTTTAGATTGACTGTATAAAATGAGTAATGTGAGTGGCATTTTACCTTAAGGCAAAAAATATACTTGAGTTATTAAAATTAAAATTTGGTCATGGTTTTATACGCATGACGTATATACACGTCAATACACAAAATTCTGCCATTTTGCCATGACGAATATATTCGTCAACCAAAATTAATTTGTTAAATAAATAATATGAAATAAAAGTAATATTTTGGGTTTTCACCTATAATTAATTATAGGTGAAAACCCAAAATATTACTTTTATTTCATACTATTATTTTTATTTCATACTATTATTTAAAAATTGAATTACTGTGTATTAAAAAAAATGATAGTGAATTAACAATTGTTAATTTACTATCATTTTTATAAAAATGATTAATATTATTAATCATTAATATATTAATACACAGTAATTCAATTTTTAAATAAATGAAACATGTAGATTTATTTATCTATGAAAATATTCGTCAACACACAAAATTCTGCCACTTTGCCATGACGAGTATATTCGTCATCCAAAGTAACTGGTTAAATATATGCATGCTTCTAAAGTTAAATTTCTTATCATATATTTATCTTTTATTATTATTGTTTATCTTATTTCCTAAAATGGATATTATCGAATTACCGACAGCGCTTATCTCTGTATAGCATTCTTTTCTTACAAAAGATATTCATTTGATACATAATTCTATTTACAAGTTTCTGTCTGGAAATGAATTGCTGTCTGTATGAATTGCATTTTGTAGTATGTACTACTATTTACTAATACCTACATTCTAGAAATAATGCACAAGCAAGAACTTGTTTTTTGTTTGTGTATCATGAGATATGGTAATGAAGGATATATTTAATAGAATAATTAATTAGGCTGCTATTGAGTAGTTTTTAGGTCGACAATTGATTAAATTAATCGATAAGGTCTTCATTTGATCCCTAATAGAGGTCATAGTTATTTAAAATTGGTCTAAAACTAATTTAACGTATATCTTTTTAAGGTCTTTCATTTTTATCATCTATGTTGTTTCAAAAACTCGTAAAATTTCAAAATATTCATTTTCAATTTTTTAGTGACATAGAAATAGCTAGATCGCAAGACCCCAAGAACATTTCTGACCTAGCTGAAGAAGTTGGTCTTATCACAGATGAAGTATCTCAGTATGGAAGTAAAAAGGCGAAAATCTCTCTTAACGTTTTAAATCGCCTTAAAGAATCTCCAAAAGGAAGTTATGTAGTCGTCGCAGGGTATGAAAATTATTAAATCGTTTTTTATAAGTATATATCTCATCATGATTAATAAATATATCTATTATCCCTTAGCATAACGCCTACTCCTCTGGGAGAAGGTAAAAGTACCACTTTGATTGGATTAGTACAAGCTCTTACAGCTCATCGTAAAAAGAATGCATTTGCCTGTTTGAGGCAACCTTCTCAAGGGCCAACATTTGGAATCAAAGGTAATAATAGATACTTAAAAAAATTAAGATTTCCAAAATAAAAGACATGTACATGTATTTTTTTCTAATTAGGAGGAGCAGCTGGTGGTGGATATTCCCAAGTGATCCCAATGGAAGATTTCAACTTGCATTTAACAGGTGATATTCACGCAGTAACAGTTGCAAATAATTTATTGGCAGCTCAATTGGATACAAGAATTTTCCACGAATTGACACAAACGGATCAAGCTCTTTATGACCGTCTAGTTCCCAAGTAAGTTAACTTATAATCATTGATGAACTTCCTTAGATATTGTATTTTGTTTACATTTTTTTGTACTTTTTTAGGATTAAAGGCGTGAGGAAATTCTCTGCAATTCAACTCCGACGTTTGAAAAGACTAAATATTGATAAAACTGATCCTGATTCTTTGACTGAAGAAGAAAGAACCAGGTTTGCTAGGCTAGATATAGATCCTAACAAGGTTGTATGGACCAGAGGTAAATATTATTCAATGCATTTTACAATTTATCCATTGGTGATAGGTACTGCATATTCCATTTGTTCTTTTATAGTAATGGATTTGAACGATCGCTACCTGCGCAAAATTACTGTAGGGCAATCACCTACAGAAAAGGGCTTTTCCCGCGAAACTAGTTTTGCAATTTCTGTTGCCAGTGAAATAATGGCAATTTTAGCTTTAGCCACAAGTTTGGAAGATATGAAGCAACGTCTTGCCAAAATGGTCGTTGCTTTTGATAAGAAGGGAAATCCGGTCACTGCTGATGATTTGGTAAGATCAATACAAATTTGAGGTAGAGATCAGATTGATAAAATTTACTACGATTCCATGCCAACAGTTATAGACACTCCGATATAAAATTTTGGAATAATATGAATTTGAATTCGATCTTTCATATTCCTTAGCATTTAATAGAGCATTCGGGTCATTTTTTTTGGTTTTTGTCAAATAACTCATAAATATCATATGAAAGCACCCCTTTTCAGTTAGGTGGAAAAAACTAGATAAAATTTACTACAATTCCATGCCAACAGTTCTAAACACTACAATACAAAATTTTGGAATAAAACGACATTGATTTCGATCTTTCATTTTCTTTAGCATTTAATAGAAAATTCGGATCATTTTTTGGTTTTTGTCAAATAACTATTTCTATCCTAGGGAGTTACTGGAGCAATGCTGGTGCTCTTGAAAGACGCAATGGAACCAACTCTGATGCAAACTTTAGAAGGAACCCCTGTTCTGGTTCATGCAGGACCTTTTGCGAATATAGCACATGGTTGTTCATCTATTGTCGCAGATTCTATAGCCTTAAAATTGGTCGGAAAGGATGGTTTTGTTGTGACTGAAGCTGGTTTCGGATCCGATATAGGTACATCCATAGAATAAACTCATAAAAAAACGATTTTTTTAAAACTTCTAGACTAGAATATCCTCTTAAGGGGCGTTCATTGAACACGTTAGGTTTTTGGGGTAAGGAAGGTTTGACAAAAAATTACAAAATATCACGTGAGAGAGAAAGTGAGGTGTATAGTAAGATATCACGTGTATTTATTTTTTTACCTATTTTTTGTGTTAAATCCAAACGTTTTCAAAAAAAATTTTAAAATACAATTTTACACGTGATGTTTGGTGAGTTAAGGGCGGGGGTATAATTTTGAATATCACCAAAGGGGGAGTGGAGGTCAAAAAATCCTTAAAAAGTCCATCACATGATTAATGTAGGCCACTTAAAGCAATTTAACATGTTTTCTTCCAGGAATGGAAAAATTCATCAACATCAAATGTCGTGCCTCCGGTGAACGTCCAGCGGCCGTAGTTCTGGTTGCCACAATTCGAGCCCTTAAAATGCACGGAGGAGGCCCTGCTGTAACTCCTGGTGCTCCACTTAAACCAGAATACACACAAGAAAACTTAGAACTACTCGAAAAAGGTTTGCCAAACTTGTACAAACACATCAGTAACGGTGTGAAGCACGGTCTACCAGTAGTTGTTGCTATTAACACTCACAGGTAAAATATGACCTTAAAATTGAATAATTAAAAACTGATCAAGAATTTTAGCACCCCTTTTCAGTTAGATAGGGAGAAATTAGATAAAATTTACTATGATCCCATGCCAACAGCTGTATACACTCCGATATAAATTTATTGAATAAAACGCGATTGAATTCGACCTTTCATTTTCTTCAGCATTTATTAGAAAATTTGAGACATTTTTTTGGTTTTTGTCAAATAACTCACAAATATCATATGAAAGCACCCCTTTTCAGTTAGATGGGGAGAAACTAATAAAACGATAAAATTTACTACGATCCCATTTTAAAATTTTGTAATTTATTCTAGTAACGATACCGCCAAAGAGGTAGCTTTGGTGAAAGAAGCAGCTTTGAAAAATGGGGCATTCCGTGCAGTTGTATGCGATCATTGGGCCCGAGGTGGTTTAGGAGCCCTAGACCTGGCTGATGCTGTAATAGACGCCAGCAAACAACCCGACAATTTTAAACTATTGTACGACCTCGATTTATCTATCGAGAAGAAATTGAACATCATAGCTGGCGAGATGTATGGAGCTGGAGAAGTTGAATTATCGCCAAAGGTCAAAGAAATTGTACAAAAATATGAATCCCAAGTAAGTTAAGAAATAACAAAATGCGAAAATTGGACATTTGAATTTGAAACTACGTTTAATATTTTTTCAGGGTTATGGAAAATTGCCTCTTTGCATGGCTAAGACATCAAACTCCTTAACTGGAGATCCAGCAATTAAAGGAGCTCCTACTGGTTTTAAATTAGTGATAAACGATATGTTCTTATCCGCCGGAGCTGGATTTATTGTTCCCTTGGTAGGCGAAATCAGCAAAATGCCTGGACTTCCTACAAGGCCAAGTATTTATGATATTGATTTAAATACAGAAACTGGTGAAATAGAGGGTTTGTTTTAAAGTGTTCTTGTGTTAATAAAAATGATTTAAATGTAAGGTAAAAATAATATACAAGTTTATATAAAAACTATCTATATTTTATACTATTAATCACAAATATAGTATTATGTTATTAGTATTCATTCTACTTTTATGGCAGCCCTAAGTCTTGCAGATCGACTTCTAGGATTAATATCAACCTCCTCATCTGATGGAACTAATACATGTTTATATAAAGATTTCCAAGGTGACTTCATCATATTTTGCAAAATATACTTATCATAAATTACAGTAGGATCTGAGAATTTCAAAGGCAAAGCGTTTGCAACACCTTCAACCAAGTGCCCCATAATATGACGTTTTACAATTGTATCTTCTAGAGAATGAAATGAAATTGTAACCATACGTCCATGAATTTTTAAGTAATGTTTTGCTAATAACATTGCATAATTGATTTCATTTAATTCGTTGTTTATGAAGATTCTCAAAGCTTGAAATGTTTTGGTAGCTACATTACTGAATCTGTTAAGTTTATCATGTCTTATTTCATCCTCACAAACAGAATTAATTAAATCAACCAATTCTGATGTCCGTTCTAATCTTCTGAAAGTATATCTAGCATCAACTATTGCACGTGCAATTTTTTTATATTGTTTCTCTTCCCCATAGATTTTAATTATTTTAGCAATGTCTTCCTCACTAGCTCTAGCTAATACGTCTGCTGCTGTTGGTTGATCAGGACATCGATTACCATCCATTCTCATATCAAGAGGTCCGTCTTTACTTATTGAAAATCCTCTTTCACCCACATCAAATTGCATGGACGAACAACCGAAATCAAACAGAAAACCGTCTATAGAGTTTGATTCTACATTATGAGAAGCTAATAAATCAGGTAATTCTGAAAATCTGCCTAATAAAGGAATGATTTGTCCAGGATATTTATCAGAGAGTTCTTTTGCAAAATTATAAGCTACAGGATCTCTATCTAAACAAATCATTTTAATATTGGGCACTGCATCTAAAATTTGTTTTGTATGGCCACCAGCACCGAATGTCATATCAACAATAGTTTCACCTGATTTTGGAGCAAGAGCTTTGAGAACTTCTTTGGACATAACTGGTGTATGGTGTTCATATTGCTTTGGTAACACATTTGCCAAACTAGAAAAAAATATGTTCTTGGGGATACTTTTGGAAACTTTGTGCATCTTAACAACTTTTATGATTCAAGCTTCTGCGGGTTTTGCTTCTGCAGGTTTTACTTCTGGGATCAATTTAGAAATGAATCCTTTATCTTCGTTCTCTAAATATTCTAGGAAGTCTGATGAGAGCACTTGGCTGCACTGTTCAGATGTTAAACCAGTTGAAGATGAGTTATTCTCTCTTTTGTATTTTAAGAAGTATGTATTTGCTGATAAACGTTCTAAAGCGCTTATTTTCTTTAAACAGTCGACTTCGTCGACTGGGGTTATTTCTCCTTGTACGAAAAAGGATTTTACGTTATCACGGAGGTATCTACCAAGATCTCTAGAAATTGGATATAAAAGAATAGGGTTAACATAACCTAAAATATTTTTATTGTGAATAAACTGATTTACCTATCACGTTTCGTTTTATCTATTGGCCACTTTTTTAATAATCTCATATAAGCTTTGTAACTAGATGCCATAATTATTAAATGATATATATTAAATATATTGTAGCACTTTACATTATCTTATGACATAACAAGTAAGAAAATTGACAGGAAAACTGACAATTATCTGGGGTTAACTTCACGTCACACTTTTGCAGAGACCTGTCATAACGGTTTTTGGTATTCAAATTAACGGCAAAAAACATTTTATTTTTGTTTTTTGCAAAATTTGTTTTTAAAACGTTATCCTAGAATGCTGTGCATTAATCACATAATAATATGTAATCCTAGACACCCAAAAACAAAACAAAAAAAATATATTCATTTAGAAAAAACCAAATAAAAATTTAAAAGTAAAAATTACAAAAAAATTCAAGTATTTTCAATATGTTCAAATTTTTGGCTGTTAGAAACCTTGTCGCCTTACGGGTATGGTAATGAAAAATGAAATCTGTAATTAATTTATATCAATTTTTATTTTATTCTACAGACGGCACAGGGACAACTAAAGTTTAATAAAAGGGCCTACAGCGACGAGGGTGATGCACAATATATTGTCGTACGGTCTCCAGATTTTGATGAAAAGAAAAATAGCACCGGTTTTGTTAGGTAAAAAGTTGAAAAATGTCATACATGACTTATTAAATTTATTTATTTATTTATTTATTTACATATATACATTATTTTCATACCTCAGTCAGACAGAGGTGCCTGGTATGAGAGATTATGAAAAACAGTTTTCATATAATATATACTAAGCTGATAAGAACAGATAATACATGTATTTAGTAAATAATATTTACAGTGATTCCTAAAGCTATTTTACAAAGAGTATATATGGAAAGTATATCACATTTATAACTAATGATCTTATCTAACGATGTTCTTGAATTGAGAAAATATGTTATTATTATTTATATAGTGATAGCTTAAGATATTTCATGACTTAAGATATTTCATTTATCATAATAGTTGAGTCCAGGTTGGTCCTGTTCCTCATTCCAGTGGTACTCATTCCAGTGCTGTAGCTGCTGGTGTGGGTCCTGCGTCCTGGTACTGCCTGTGTCCGGTGATGTGTTCCACGTAGATATCTCGGGACCAGCGGATCGTGTCGGAGACCATCAGCCGCTTCATCAGCACTGCATACTTTTTATTGACCTTGAGTGCTGCTAACGCGGTCCAATTGCGGCTGCAATATCCGCCGAGAGATCCGACAATGAAGGCGTCTACTGTAGTCCTAAATCCCTTGGCTCGAAAGTGCTCAGCAAGTGCGGCGTACTTGTCCTTCTTCAGCTGTCTAGTTGTCTGGAAGGCCTCGGTCCGGTTCTCGAAGGGCACCGCTATATCGATTATCGCAGCTGTTTTCTCTCTGTTGTCTATGATAACGATGTCCGGTCTCTCTTGACCGTCGTATTCTGGTATCGGCTGGTTGGCGTATAGGGCTCCGTCCGCTGGTTTCTTTGCCGCCGTAATCAGTCTCTGCACGATGCTGTCGTGTCTCTTTGTAATGGCGTTCAAGTGCGGCTTGCAGTGATTGATGACGTGAGGCAGGGTCTCATCGTGCTGTCCACATCTTCTGCATCGTTTGTCGCCGCTGCCAAATGGACGACTCCCGTTCAGTGGTAAAACGTTGAGCCGCGCTCGATGAATAAATTTCCACTCTGCAAATCTGGTGAAGCCGCCTTGCCTAAGGAAGTGGTTCGATGCAGAGTTTTGTGTCGTTACCCCGAACACTTTTCCTTGGTCCGGTTTCCTGAGTAATCTTTCCTTGTAGAACCGTCGTGCAGCTGCTCGTAGGCTCGATTCTGCGTTCTCCCTGCTCACTGGCGCGTTGTCGACGGTTAGCTCGTCCAATCCCAGCTGCAGGTTAATCTTCGGTTTCAGCCTTCGCACTGCCGTCCTGAGCCTCGACCACGTCGTCGTAATGTCATTCGCTGGTTTTCCGAGATCGCCACTTGTTCCGAAATTTATGAATCCGACGATCTCCTCCGTGTTGGGTTCGTGTCCCACACGTTTCCTGACGACGTCTGCTAGCGTGGCTCTGCTGAGTTCTGCCGTGGCCCTGTCCTTTGATGTCAGCAGTCGGTGGGCGTGTACAACCTGTCCTATATCTGCCAACACCGCTGCTGGTAGGATGTTGAATCCGCCTTCTTTGTAACTCAGATATAGGACCTCGGCGCTGGCTCTCTGCGGCAAGTGGGCCCATTTCTTGACGCTCCTCTTCACCTGTTTGTCGAATCTGTGCAGGATTTTCTTGGCCACGTTTCCATTCTTCAGATGAAATTCCACCTGCGGCACGATGAAGGTATTGACTGCGTCGATCTTCTGCCATGGCGCCAGCAGCGACTCGTCTACTCTGGATAGGTGCTGCTGCATCTGCTCTAGTACGTCTTCGCCTGACGAAAACGTAGAAAATCCCGTGGGAACGCCTAAGTGCTCGTACCACTCCTCCTGCGAAAGTGCACTACACTTTGATCTTAGCCATTCGGCCGAGTTGACTATTTCATTAATATAATTACTATATATAATTAAAATATCTTTATATATAACTTTTCAGTCTTCTTTGTCTTTAATTTTCTTATAATATTTCTTTATTTTTTTTTTAAATTTATCGTCATCATTGGTCTTAATATCGTTTGGCAATTCATTATATATTTTGCTAGCACTCTATATGGCATTTTCTCTCAAATTCTTCTTTCTATTGTGTCCAATGTGAAAATTGTTGTGTTGTCTAGTGTAGTGTTCATGTATATCTTGATTTATGTTAATTCGGTTAAATTTCATTTTGTGTATTAGTTTGCATTTATCTATTTTAATTATGTTATTTAGTGAATGAGTATTTGTTTCTCTCTGTAAGTATTTGGTGGGTGTTAGATGAGGAAAATTATATGCTATTTTTATGGCTTTATTCATTATTCTCTGTATATTATTTAAGTTTGCTTTAGTTGTTTGGCTCCATGTTGTTATTCCATATAAAATTATAGGTATTATTTGCGTTTCAAGAATTAGTATTTTATTTTTTTGTCGAAAGAGTGGTTCCTTTTCAATGCCCCTGTTAATGTTCCTATCTTTCTTTTCATTTTGTTTATATGTTCTGTCCATGTCAGTTTTTCATTTATTATCAGTCCTAAGTATTTCATGCTTTCAATTTCGTTTTAAATTTCAGATATGGAAAACATGTCGGAGAAAAGGTCACGCAGGAAGACATCGTTGCGGAAATAGATACAGATCTTTACGCAGTTTCCGTTTACTCACCAGTATCCGGTGTAATTGACAAGATTTATGCACCAGAAGGAACCAAAGTCAGGTGCAATCAAGGAATGTTTAGGATCCGTCAAGACATGCAACCCGAAGAACCTTTGAGACCATTAAAGAAATTGAGAACTCCACAAGTAACAGAGGAGCTTGAGAAGGTTAAATCTAGTGATACTTTAGTCGCATCATGTCCTGGTAATAAAAAGATTCCTTTATGCAATATGCAGCCTGAACCTATCGTTCCTCCTGAAGAATTTCCGGAACAGGCGTTACCTAAGATTCCTAAATATTCTTATATTCCACCTGCAGAACTTAACTATCGTCGTATGTTGGCCCAAAAACGCAAAGAAGAAGAAGAGGCAAAGGAATAATAAATAAATAAAAAAATAAGCACTTTTTTAAATAAATAAAAAAATAAATATTCTTTTAAATAAATAAATTCATATCTATGTTAACCTGACACTACTTTTGTACAGTTTTCATTATAACAGATAACCTACTGTAAATACAAGAATATAATTTATATTTTTATAAATAAAATAAAATGTAATAGTTCAATTGGTTTATATATTTTATGATAAATGTTAATGTTTAGCCTAGATTGAATGTTGATTTAGCCAGAATAGATGAGCATTTATATACTTCATATAAGTAGTCATCTTTATTTTAAATAAGGAAAATTTATTAATCTTAAGATCAAAATATAAAAGAGTGTAATGAAATTTAACAAAAAACATTAAATTTAAGATAAATAATCCAGTTTCACGCATAGTGTGCATGCTTTCTTATATGAACATCAAATTATATTTATAAGATATTTATATAGTTATAGTAATGGGCCGAAAATCGAAAATGAAAATTTTTGCATTTCTCGACGTTTTGAAGGTTTCTGAACATTTTGGCATACCTCAGATAAAATGGATGTGTGTGTGTGTTTTGTATGTCCGCATTTTTTCGCCCACGTTTTCGGGCGCACGGATCAACCGATTTGAATGGTTTAAAAAACATTCGATTCCTATTGAAAGGGAGATGTACTGATTAGTTTTTGGCAAAGGCAGGTCCAGCCGTTATGGAGATATGGAGCAAAGAGTGCAGAAAATAGAAATCGAGTTTTTGAGAGAACGGATCATCCGATTTGTATGATTCAATAAACATTCAGTTTGCAATGACGGGAAAGAGTGGTTATTAGTTTTTGGCAAAGGTAAGCCCAGCGGTTTAGGAGATACAGAGCTGAATGTTAAAAAAAAACAGTTTTTGAGAGAACGAAGCGTCTGATTTGAATGATCTAATAACATTCTGCTTGTTTCAACAAAATAATTGCGTTCGGAATAAAAAAATGTTTCTAATTTTTTTTTTCAAAAAATATTTTTGTAATTTTGGATTAAAAACTCAAAAAATGACCCAGGCTAAGCACAGTCTAAGCGCCACTCTGGTACAAATGTTTACCCAAATGCGTTTAGACTTTGACTAAACAGAACAGAAGCACTTTTTCAATTTTGTGAAAACTATTGAAAAATGTGAAAATGCCACCAAGCTAAGCACAGTATAAGTGAAAATCGCACAGAATTATTTGCTATACAGGATTATTTTGCTATAAAACTTTGACTATACAGGAGCACTTTTTCAATTTTGTGTAAACTACTAGGCAACTTAGGTATTTTTTTGAAATTGAATTCGAAATGAAACGACGATTGTTAATGTTCTGGAGATAGATTGATTTATGATTTACATTTGATTTGCTCAGATATAACAAGATAGCAAAAATAATGAAAGTTACAGTATTTGTGATAATATATTTGAAAACGTTTAAAATTTCTCGAATATTTCATTACGGTACGGGAAGTTCCAGCAATTTACCTTAAGGCACGATGCCATGCGCCCCACTAGTTTTTTATTGTCGAAGGTGCAAGTTTCGCTTTTGAACAATAGACTGTCATACTTCATATTTCGCGCGTATTAATCTTTTGTTTCCGTTTTTATATTGGCTACACTGGCTGTCAGTGAAAGATCTTAATCCGTTACCTTCACAGTATTAGATAATTTTGTACAATTTTGAAGTTCCTAGCATGAATGTAACGTGACAGCGCTATCGTTTCGGGTACTTAATTTTAATAAAAGTGCATGCGAAAATCTAGCCGCAATGTCTGGAATGTTGACGATTTCATCGCGGACCATTCCGCGAAAAGTTTTACGACTTACGACAGATCTCGTAGAGGCAAATAATTCAAAGGTACGATTGTAAAGTATTGGTGATATTTCTTATGTAACGTCGTAAATATTACTCCTTTAAAACATACTTGGGTAACTAAATTTGCTACAATTTGGTAGGTTCTGAAAGCAGCCTTAAGTACTAAAGCCTCACACAAACAATGCGTTCTAAGACTAGCCAAACCAGAGGTATATAACATACCTAGGTAAGTACTTAACCTGAAAATTTTTTTACTTGCGCAAAATTATCATATTAAGAGTGTATTTTCATTAGAACAAAGGTGTTAATGAAGTGGCCTCAACATAATCGATTAGTGCACTCTTCTGCAGCTTTTTATGCATCAAAAGTAGTTAATGTACCTCCATTTGCAGATTCTGTATCAGAAGGCGATGTCAAGTAAGTTGAATATTATATCTTATAATTAAAAAATTATTTGTTGAGATTCAGAAATTATATCCATGATATTTCTCATAAAATTAGTTCAAATATCATTGAATTTACTAATAAATTATATACTACAAATAGACTATAGTCTATATATATATATATATTAAAATTAGTTCAAATATCATTGAATTTACCAATAAATTATATACTACAAATAGACTATAGTCTATATATATATATATATATATATATATATATATTAGTATATAATAAATATATTTATTATAAAAGTATTTTTTATCCAGGTTGGACAAAAAGGTAGGTGACTATGTGTCTGTCGATGAAGTGGTTATGGAAATTGAGACTGACAAAACATCCATGCCTGTTCCGGCACCAGAAGGTGGTGTTATTGAAGAAATCTTAGTTAAAGATGGTGACACTGTCAAAGCTGGACAGGCTTTGTTCAAACTGAACACTTCAGCTGCACCACCAGCAGGAGGTGCTGCTCCTAAACGAGCTGCCTCACCAGCCCGGCCAGCTGCTGCACCTGCTGCACCTGCTGCACCTCCAACACCAGTGAGTAAAAAATTAAATATGAGAAATTATTCTTTCATTTATTTGCTAATTTATTCTTTGAAAATTCTCTTTTGCCAAAGAGAATGTTAATTATATACAAGAGTGAAAGATAAATATGGTTATTTTGTATATATGTATTAATACAAGTATATTTGCACAATTATTTACATACACAATGATAAATTCAGATAACTTTTGATAAGGTGATAAGAGATGATTTATCTATATCCATCATTATATCTCAGAATTGTATTGTAATGTTATCTGTAACAAAAATTAAATCATAGAATTGCTTATCATTTTTAGATCAATATAACTCACTATAACATATATATTTTATAATCACAATTCATTTTCAAATGCTGCATGAAATTAATTTTGAATGTAAAAAATTTAATTGATATCAGTTGAGTGCTTCAAAATTGCACTCCTAAAATGTTTTATTTATTTTATTTTATTTATTCATAAGCAAGCTGTAATCAATATAATAGATATTATTTCAGGCTCTTGTCAAGCTTATTCATAGTTAATATTAAAAGGATAGTAATTTCATAATAATCATAGTAGCTGCATGAATTTCGCTTCTGAAAAAAGAGAGCTAAAAAAAAGCATTCGAACATAAAATCAATGTTTATCATCAAGTTCATCATGTTAAAGTCTATTTGACCACCAGTCAAGCTCAAAATTCTTGCACAAGGTTGAAAGTTATACTCATTTAAAACCGTAAAAAATTTTAAATTAGTAAAATAGCAATAAAAAAAAAATGGTTGTACAGGCGATCAAATGGTCAGACTACATAGATAAGGATAAGGATTATGCAAGAAAATACTTATTGAAATCAAATTGAGAAAATTCAGTAATGTCATAAAAAGCTAATTCTTTAAAAAGTTTAACTAGGGAAGCATGAAATTTTTTGCTAATTTTCGGATATTGAGTGGAAGTTTATTCATAAGCTGAATACCTAGACCGTCGATCGTATTGAACGAGCTGGGTAATTTATATGCATATGTATATGTCCTTTTCCCTCCTGAACCTGAAATCCACCTTCCTCAGAAACCTCCTACACGACCTGCAGCGCCAAGTCCAGCACCTGCAAGAGCCCAATTACCAGCAAAGCCGCCTGCGGCTGCTAAAAAACCACCTCCAGTCAAGAAGCCACTTCCTATTCCTACACCTAAACCGCGTCCTGCACCGCCTCCTTATAGACCAGGACAGACAAAGTCTGCACAACCGGGTCCACCTCCGCCGATTCCACCGAGACCTACTCCTCAACCAAAACCTGTTCCGCCTCCTTCTCCTAAGCCACCTATAATTGTCAGAAAGGTAAAAATAAGCAGGGGGGATATTATTTTGCTAATAATAGTAACTATAATTAAAATGCTACAACTATCGATGGAAGTAGAAGACACTGCTTTTATGCTTGATTGTTGTGTCTTTATTTATTGAGTTCTTGCACCAAATCAAAAAAAAATTGCATAAAAATTATCATTAACAATAACTCTTATTTCTCAATAACTTGCACACAAGAGCGATGAGGAAGAATCGGGGTTAAAGAAACTTCTACCGGGTTGGTTGAAAGGCAAGGTCAGTGTTACTGCTAATGATAATTTTGCTGTATACTTAAATCATCAATCATTTCATAATTGGAGTTATTACTAATTTATGTGCAGGAAATATTTGATTAGTAGAATTTGTGTATGTTTGCCTTCTAATCACAGGTAATTTTTTTTCTTAGGAACCTCCCAAGGTACAGGCTGCCCCACCGCCACCACCACCACCTCCGAAACCAGCAGCAGCTCCAACAAGTCCTCCTCCTGCACCACCAAAGCCTGCAGCACCTAGTGCCCAGATTCCAGTCGCTGCCATGCGCCATGCTCAAGCCATTGACACTGCCACTATCAAGGTAAAAAGTAGATATATGTAAATGTATATTTGTTATTTTAGTGTTAAAAATATTTTTATCATTTTAGATGCCACCTCAAGATTATACCAAGGAAATTACGGGTACCAGGACTGAACAGCGTGTTAAGATGAACCGCATGAGACAAAAAATTGCGTCCCGACTCAAAGAAGCACAAAATACCAATGCTATGTTGACAACATTTAATGAAATTGATATGAGGTCTTACTTGATGCACCATAAATATAAATTATAAATGTACAACTAATAAAATATTTTTATTTTTTTTTTAATTTCAGCGCCATCATGCAATTTAGGAAAGATCACCTGGATGGATTCATGAAGAAATATGGAATCAAATTGGGCTTCATGTCTGCTTTCTGTAAAGCATCAGCCTACGCTTTACAAGACCAGCCTGTTGTAAATGCTGTCATTGATGGAGGTGAAATTATCTACCGTGACTTTGTCGACATATCTGTTGCTGTTGCAACACCCAAAGGTCTTGTTGTTCCTGTTCTGAGAAATGTTGAGAGCATGAATTTTGCTGACATTGAAGTTGCTATTAATGAACTTGGAGAGAAAGCCAAAAAGGGTAAGTTTTGTAATAATGCTTAAACTTATTAAATGACTAATACTGTGTTTTTTACTTAGGTGCGATAACTGTTGAAGACATGGATGGAGGCACTTTCACCATCAGTAACGGCGGAGTTTTTGGTTCATTAATGGGTACTCCTATTATAAATCCACCACAAAGTTCAATTCTGGGTATGCATGGTATATTTGAACGCCCCATTGCTGTTAAGGGTCAAGTAAGTAGTTAAAATTATAAATTTAAATTTTGTTTTTGTTAAAATTATAAATTTCAATTTTTTGTATTAATGTGTAAATATTATTTAGGTCGTAGTTAGACCAATGATGTACGTCGCCCTCACTTACGATCATAGATTGATTGATGGCCGCGAGGCTGTTATGTTCTTGCGAAAGATCAAGTCTGCAGTTGAAGATCCCCGAATAATTTTAGCTGGCTTGTAATTTGAAAACATGTAACATTTATTCACATCAATCAGTTGGAACCAATCAAATTATTAGAATAGAAATAGCTGTTAAAGCATTATTTATTAAATTTTAATTGTTTTATTATAATAATTTATTTTTGTATATATGATTCTTTATGTAATCATGACTTAAAAATTGATGAATTTATTCTATATTTTATGATTTGTATATTTTATTAATGTTTCAAAGTATTATACGACATCTTATGCAATCTTGTATAAAATCATTAATATCATCTAGTTGTATATTATTTGATTGTTGACTAGGTTGTAAAATGTTTTGGTTCGGTACAGTATTTTCATGCAAAGAACTTCATAATAAAGCAATATTTAAATGATTGATTTTGTTGTGTAATTAAGTAATGTTGAATATACAAGTGTTTAGTTAAATGTTTTGTTTCAATTCAGAAGACGTCTGATTTGCAAACAGCTTTGAGTAATTGCACTATAAAATGTATAAACGTCAGCTTAAAATTATGTCAATGTTTATCATGCACTTGTAAATTAAGGTACTTAATAAATGAATGTGATTTTGAATTTGTGTTTAATTTGATTCTTCATGTGCGTTTATTATATTATTTCATATATAAAATAAAAAAAAGCAAAAGAAGAGATTTGTTCTATAGTTATTTTTGAATTTGGCGGGTTGTTATTAGACTTGACATGAAATTGCACAATGGCAACACTAATGTCATAACCTTCAATGGAAACACTAATGTCATTCTATTACATATTCAAACAAAAATTATGAAATAAATAAATTTTAATTAAATTCCCGTAAAATAAGTCATAGAACATGAACACTTAAATATTTGCACCATATTTATAATGTCATACATTTTATTAACAAATCAATCATAATGGCAACTAAGGTTATAGCTACAGCAACTGTGAAAGCAATCAAAGGAAGAAAATTAATACCTACAAGGGCTGCTTTGTCTTTAACTCCTGCTGCAGTTAGTAGAATAAAAGAATTATTACAAGGAAAATCTGAATATATAGGCTTAAAAGTTGGTGTTAGACAAAGAGGCTGTAACGGGCTCTCATACACATTAGACTATGCAGTTTCTAAAGAAAAAATGGACGAAGAAGTTGTGCAGGATGGAGTTAGAGTAATAATAGATAAAAAAGCACAACTGTCTTTATTAGGAACAGAAATGGACTATGTGCGAACAAAGTTATCCTCAGAATTTGTATTTAATAATCCAAATATTAAAGGTACCTGTGGATGCGGTGAGTCCTTCAATATATAAAGAAATTTGGAAATGATAGTTGAAGCAGATTATGTAGCACACTAATAGGAATTCAAAACATTGACTACGAAATATAGAATTTATATTTTAGATTTGTTTTGTTATGTATATATTAATTTATTAATGTTGTTAGATAAATTTTGTGTAAATATAATATATATTTATAATTAAATTCATTATGTTTTATGTGTGAACGCATTAAATGTATTTGTTTTTGTTTTCACAAAGTTTTGTAGATGATTATGCAGAATATATTTTTTAAAATATACATTTTTTAATACACTTTCAATAATAAATATAAAACATACTGAGGCTGAAAACAAAATAATGCAAGTAAGAAAAAATAAATACTACTTATAAAATAAATAGAAAAATTGAAGTAAAAGTGATTTTTTTCTTTTAATTTAAAATAAAATCATTATCTCCTTATTACATCACACTGATAAAATTTTAATATCTTCTATGTTTACACTTTGTTACCCTGGGAACGTTAGTTGAAACAGTGTCATCAAAGCAAATATTATTAAAAGTGGTTAAAACGCAAAATACTAATGAATGGAAAATATAAACGACAACAAAGCCTTGGTAAAATATCATTTTAGCAATATTTACAAATTTTATAATGTGATAATAAGGATTTTATATTTTTATCATCAGAACCAAGCTTGCTGCAAGATGACGTGCATACAAGTATTGTTCTACAAATATTACTTTATGTAAATGTTCGCTTGCTACCAATTTGGTCATTTGTTACTATTTATTGTTTATACTTCAAGGTATAAAATAATTCATCCATATAATAATATTCATTCATATATTTTTTTAAGTTTAAATCATATTAATTAAATTGTGCTTAATATAATTTTTTTTAGTTTGATGAATTGAACCGAATTCATAGAATCATAATGGTTCCTTTGATATTAGGAGTAATCTCAATCGAATGTGTACGCCTATTTATGGGATACAATGGCAATCTTCGAGAGAAGGTAAATTAGTCCACATTCACCTAATATTTTCATTATTTCAAATTTCACTTTGACTTCATGATATGGTAAATTATATTTTACCACTTTTCAGCTCTCAGATTTGGCCGGATTTTGGATTATATCAACAGTATTACAATTTCCTTTAATATGCTATATATTATTTAGTCCATACACTCTTTGTCCAATTGTCGAGAAATTATTTTACTTTGCAGTCGCTGCGATGAGTTTGATAGAAATATTTGTTAGTTTCTTTGTTGTAAAACGGTTATCACATTATACGGCTTTGAAATATTGTATGGAGGCACAAATAGGCGTTTTATGTAAGGCGAATGATGGAATTAGAATGGAACAAAATACTGTTTTATTAACACCGGGTAATGAAACATAGAAAACGTAAAAAATAATAGATTTGTTATATATACAGTTATATATATATATATATATATATATATATATATATATATATATTTAAAGCGAGAGGTTTTTCTTCAGATGGTGAAATAATATGATAAAGTTGTTTCTTGGGCATCCATCCAGTAATTAAAAAACAGATTTATTAAAAAATGTTTTTATTCAGAGAACATACGTTTCGGGTCTTGATTTGACCCATCTTCAGTGCTACAATCAAATAATTCAGGCTTACAAATTAAAACACTATAACATTTTTCAATAAATCTGTTTTTTAATTACTGGATGGATGCCCAAAAAACAATTTTATCATATATATATATATATATATATATATATATATATATATATTTTAGTACAGGGAAAAATTTACTCCTTTAAATTTCTTTTGTTCAAAAATTTGAAAAAAAAGAATGGTAAAAATTAGCAATACATTACTAGATACCAAAATCAATATAGACTGAAAAATTAAATTTAGAATAGGTTCTAAATTCATATATTTAGTACTGTGCTTTCTAGCAATAATTATTAATAATCCTGTAAGTATTCTTGTTGAAAATATTTAGTATAAAAATTAGATACTCAATTTTTTATGAAATGTTAGACAATATATATATTTCAGTTATAAAATAAATAATTTACATTAAATTCATATTTTTTATTTAAAAATCTCTCCAACGCTTGGGTTTTTGTACATGGACCAAAAAATCAATAAATGCGCCCACAACATAACCTTTGCGAATTATCTGACATTGTGTGTACAGAGAATGTAAATAAAGCTTAAAATATTAATTTTAGAACGTTTTCTTTATTAAACTTAAAGTTTTTGTTATCATGTGTTCGTAAATTTTCAAAGTTTAGCATTCCAATTAGAATCTAACGCGATTCCATGTTGAATCCAATGTGTCGCATTGAATCCAACTGGTTTAAAATAACTAAATAATGATAATATAAATATAAATAATAATATTTTTACAATGAAGAGGCAAAATGTGCGTACTTTATCTTTAGTTGTATGCACTTTTACTTACCTTTTAATTGGGGCTGCAGTTTTTGATGCACTCGAATCGGATACGGAAAGGAGGCGTTGGGACTTTTTAAAAGGTCAGTGTTTAAAAATATAGTGGTACCCCGATTTACGAGTGTTTTGAGATACGAGTCGGGAAAGGAGCAATTTGTTGCTTTGGCATACGAGCAAAATTTGAGATACGAGCTTTGAGCGAGTAAGAATTTTCTAAAAAAATGTTGAAGGCAAAATGTAAATATGAAAAATTTAGTCAGTTGTAAATGAAATTATCATATTTAGAAATTTACTCACGCGAATATACCGAGAATTATTATACTTTAACCCTTTCCACTCGGATGCCGCCGAGTGGAATGGTTTAATAGTGATTGTACAGTTATATGTTAAGGGGGTATTCTAGTGTAGAAATTCAAAAAATCGTTTTTTTTTTAATTTCATATTTTCAAAATTTAACTATCTAAGAATATGGGTACGAGAAGGTTTTTGAAAATTTGAATTATTTTCAAAGATATAGGTATTTTGCTGACTAGGCGGTCTCCATACTGGTTTGGATTCACGCAAAACTTTAAATGCGTTTTTCTCAGAACAGACTTTTTCAGTATTGTTGACACGATTTCTCGAGTTTTAATCGACCGATTTGCTTGAAATGTTCAGAGAGTCTTGTTTATAGACCTATCTATAGCCCGAACTAGGATTATCCCAAAATTCCAATTTTTACTATTTTTAAAAAATTTGAGAAACTCAAAAAAACAGTAAAAAAAACACTTTTTTTTAAACAGTCGCCAATTTGTAAAAAAAAAATTTTTTACTCATTGCTAGTTCGGGCGATTGCGACATCATTGTAGATCAATATTTTTTTTTATTTTTTGCATTTTCGATGGCTAGGAGGGCTGAAATCATGTCAAGACTGAGGTGCTAATTTTTTGAGACCACCGACTTCATCAGCTGCCAGTTTCTATTATTTTCAACTTTTTTATTTTTTGTATTTGTTTTGTATTTTAATAATATTAATAAACAAGTGGTAAAAAAATGGATAGTAAAAACTTTCATTGCTTTCTTTTACGACACTTTAAAAATGACCTAAAATTCTTCGCTCTACACTAGAATACCCCCTTAAAGTTCGTGTATTTTGCTTTTATAATATTCAAAATACTTAACAAAATTCGAACGCCTTTACATTAAAAAAAAAAAATGCTTTGAGATACGAGCGATTCGACATAGGAGCGTAGTTATTTTATCTCGTATGTCGGAGTACCACATAGCATATAATATATATTTTCCTCTTATTTCTGTTCCTATTTATTTTAATTATAAATATTCTGCAGATGTGCGAGACAAAATGATTCACAAGTACAATATCACAGAAGAAGATTATCGTATGATAGAAATTGTAATAATAGAAAATAAACCGCATAAAGCAGGACCGCAATGGAAATTTGCTGGGGCCTTTTATTTTGCCACAGTAGTCTTAGCCATGATAGGCTATGGTCATTCGACACCAGTAACGATAGGCGGAAAAGCGTTCTGTATGGCCTATGCGATGGTAATAGAAAATAGATATAAATACTATTCTAAAAAATTATATGTTAATATTATTATAAATTATATCAATTACTGATCTTTTCCTATCCAAGGTGGGAATTCCTTTAGGCCTGGTGATGTTCCAAAGTATTGGTGAACGTCTTAACAAAGTGGCTTCTGTAGTCATCAAAAGAGCCAAACGTTATTTAAGATGCTCCCGAACTGAGGCTACAGAAATGAATCTGATGCTTGCAACTGGTATGTTATCATCAGTTATTATTACAACTGGAGCAGCAGTTTTTTTCAAGATATGAAGGTTGGAGCTATTTTGATAGCTTTTACTACTGCTTTGTAACGTTAACCACAATTGGCTTTGGAGATTATGTTGCACTTCAGGTAATAATAAAAAATGAATTTTAATAATAAATGATTTTTGGCAATATTATTTGATCTATTTTTAGAATGACCAAGCGTTAACAAAGAAACCTGGATATGTTGCTCTAAGTTTGGTCTTCATTCTCTTCGGCTTGGCAGTGGTTGCTGCGAGCATAAATTTGCTGGTGTTGAGATTCATGACCATGTAATTTAATAAACATATTTATTCAGTATTAAAAACCTTTATTAAATAATTAAATGCGTTTTAGGAATGCTGAAGACGGTTTGCGGGAAGACAACGAGTTACAAGCTGCTTCTCGACACGTTTTATCATTGGAAAGTGGTGAATATGTAGGAGTTAATGGAAAATTGCTTGCAGGTAAGAGTTTTATATATTTATTTATTCATTTTAAATATATAGCCCACAGATTTCTTCCAAAAGGACTCAAAAATACAATTATTTTAGATAATTCATTATTGTTTTCATAACAATTAAAATATATACAAAATTACAATATATTAGTTATGAACATAAAATGCTTAACATAAAATTACATATAATGCAGAATGTAACAATATTATTTTTAAACAGAATAAGATAAAATAATTTGAAGAGTAATCTGATGCGATAGAGATATTTGAAAAGAAAATATAAAGGTTAACTTGTGCAGATGGAGATTATTTGATTAGGTAAAGTGTTGTGAATATCTATTTCATTATTAATTAAGTTAAAGTTAGAGGACATAATTAAAACAGGCTAATTTAAAAGAGAATTAGATTTAGGAGTAGGATAATTGAAAAATAATTGTGAACGCGTAGATAGTCTTGGAACATTAAAGGATAGCTGATTAAGAATATGAGGACAGTCTATATAATTATTGCAAAGTTTAAATAAGAACATAATTGTACAGATAAATCGACGTGAGGCAAAACAAGGAATACCAAATTCTTCTAGTAAAGTGTTGTGGTCAAAGCCACGTTCAGGGTAAATTTTATATGTTTTATAATAAAGATATTTCAGAAATTTTTGCCGAACCTTCTCTATCGCATCAGAATTGTTGATTTGATGAAGATACCAAATAATCGAACCATATTCTAATTTTGAACGTACAATAGAATAGTACATGCAAAAAAGTACTGAATTGTTTACAATTTCTCAGTATCAAACCTAAAGATTTATGTGCTCTAATACAAATATCAGTTATATGTTTCGTGAAAAACAAACCGGAATCAAATAGGACTCCTAAATCTGAAATTTTATTACATCTATCAATGCTGGTGTTAGAAATTTTATAATCAAAATGTATTGGAACGCGCTTATGTGAATAACTAAGAATCTTGCACTTTGATATATATATATATATATATATATATATATATATATATAATATATATATATATATATATATATATATATATATATATATATATTTAAATGTAATTTGTTAAAGACACACCAAGAGTGGAAAGAGTCAAGTTGAGACTGTAAGAATAAGCAGTCATCAATAGAATTTTGAGATATATTTTGAGATCATCTGCAAATAATAAACGTGGACAACTAATAATATCAGATATGTCATTAATAAAAATAATAACTAGTAGTTGACCAAGAATGGATCCCTGAGGAACACCAGAACTGATATTTTCAATGTTACTCAAGAATCCATTGAGATAGACAAACTGTTTACTGATATATTACAATTTGTAGCATTGTTAGTATCATATTATACTAAAATATTTTTTTCTCAGGTCATCCCAGAGCTGATGCCGATGCAGCCCATGTAGATCAAGACAGTGTCTGTTCCTGCACTTGTCTCGGTGGATCAAGTATCACTGGTCACAGACGCCAGGATTCCTTCTTAAATCCTGCACCGCCTCCAGCAGATTTAATTCCTGCTCCAGGAGTTGATGCCAGCGATTTACTGCTTCTGGAGTCTGCTTGTAATATTGGAGCAGGTTCTCAAGGCGCTGATTTTCTTATAGAGCCACCTGAAATATTTACATACGGTTTTCGGAGGAAACGTATGTCTATATGAGATAGGAACGAATATTCTAAATTATTTGACTAAAATAATGGTGTATTTTTTTCAAATGTGGTGTGATAACCATGCCAATGGGAATCTTGGATGTTTGAATGCTTTGAAAATTAACTTTACAGTATTGGAATGAATTTATAATAATACAATTTAAATTTAAAAAAAATCTTAGTGAATTCGGACTAATTCATATATGATGTATTTGTGTAATATTTTTTATATTAATATTAGATAAAATTTAAACAAGATGTTTATACATATGTACTGAATATAAACGTGTAAGTTTCCCATAAAGTCCTGGTGTCTAAATTTACTAATCAATTGGCTACAATATATTCAATATTTTATGCTAATTAATAACGAATACAATATTTGTAATCGTTAGTGCATTTATTTTATTTGCGTCATGTACAATTTGAATTTTAAAATTCGCGCCATTTTTAATTTGAATTCCAGTTGGTAGCGCCGCCATACGTCAACAAAAGTCAGTGTGTTTTTGTAAAAAGTCAAGTGCGGTGATAGTGACAATTCTTGCTTCTTATTTTTTTAACATGCCTAAAAAAGAAAAGGTATGTATCTTTTAAACTAAAGTTTATGTGCAAATAAATCTAAAGTGTTTAAATTTAAATAAACGAATCGTTCTGGAACAGTATATTCATATATCTGTATTAATTGAATATGTAAAGATCGGCTGCCATGTCAGATCCTTTTAACATCAACAAACATGTCAGATTGCAAATGATTGCAGATTCTTTTGTGTTTTTTACAGGATGCACGTAAGGTTGTGAATGATAAGAAGACAAATGGTGAATTGGAAACAGAGGTAAGAATTTCATTTTAGTAGATGTAAATTTAATTTGCGGTAAACGAATTGAACATAACCTCACTAATTGTCAAAATAATTAAACCTCAACATACTTTTTTATTCTCAATCTACCTTGTTTAAAGCTATTACATTAATAATTCTTCACAAATAATTGCTATATATTTGACATACAGCATAATATTTCTCATTTTTACATATTTTATTCATTCTGTTCAAAGTATGTCAATATTCAAATTTTGAATAATGAAAGTTTTTTTTGTCATTTACTATTCATGTTTAGTGTTAAATACAATTTTAATGAGGTTTAGAAATTGTAAATTTGAAATTGAGATAGATAAATTATGTAAGACAGTTTATCAAAATTATCACCTGTGTATGTTTGTGTTCAATTTGTTTAGATTTGTTGATATATATATATATATATATATATATATATATATATATATATATAAGGAAGTCAATATCATTTCTTATATATTAATTGTGTAAATATATTCATTATCTAAATTGCCGTCTGAAACAAAAACTTCTTTGTTAACATAGTTTTCTTATCTCATACGTAGTCAGATAATTGTTATTAGTTTTTTTATCTATCACAAAGTCATTGTTAAAATATAACAATCTCATTGTTATTTATTTATCCTTAACACTTAAATTTAATTATCAATTGTACAATTTTCATAACATATGAGATTTATGTACACACAGCCATATGTTATAATATGTGATAATTATTTTTTATTAAAGATTCATAATAATCTTTGGACCTGTGGTGCTATATATTTTTGCATTGCATAAATATCCTAAAGAATGATTTTTTCAAATATTTTTTAGATATTTATTTATTTGCTCGATTATATTTGAATCTTATGAATACATTTATTCAGTAAAATCACAGCTATAGATAGTTTTCAAAATAAGAAATATTTTTAATAATTTATAGTCATTTTAATCATTCTTCAAGAATAACAATCCATATCTCGGTTGACCTCTTATTGTATTATTGTCCAGTACAATTGATAGTTGCTTCATATGAGAAATTGTCTTGTGTGAATCGATTTAGAGCTTTCACACACTTGTTTTAAATGTCCCAAAAAATAAAGACTTTCAAGAGATTCAGATTAGTGCACTCAAAAATTTTATATATTTTTACTAGGTGAAACAATAAATTTAAATGTGTACGATTTTTTTCTCTTAAAATCATGTTTATATCTCTTCTCCCAAAAACAATATTTCTTTCCTACTGCGATATGTATTACATGTATGGAATATGCCGTTATGACGAACAGAATTGATACTTTCTTATCTTAACACTTTTATTAATCTATTGTTATGAGAACTTTTATATGATAAGCAATGTACAGCTTCAATTATTCTGTACAAGTAGCTGATACAGCAATATTTTAGTAGTATTTGTACTTTGTTACATTTACATGATCAGATTGAATCATGTGTTTGAAAAACAAATATACATGGACATACCACTTACCCATCGCTATTGTAACTGATATAAACTTGGTTCATTTTTGATTATTTTTTCTTTGCAAACTTTTGTTTTCATTTTTCCTAGCACTGTGCTTCGGCTTTCAGTTCTCGTGTAAATTATCAATCATCTGCATTCTTCTTTTTTCCAATTTTTTTAGTCTTTCTACTTTACCTTCGACGACGTCGTGTAAGAAGCACTCTTTTTGAAGGAATGGGTTCGATCAGTCGCCATTTCTTAGAGTCCATGTCTCTGATCTGTACGGAGCTATGTTCTAGACATAACGCTTTAGAGGCTGTCCATTAATTAAAATTAAACCCACCTCATCCCTCACTAAACATCACAGTACCTAGACAAAATAGTATATTTTAATTATTTTTTTGAAAAATTATTGAATGTGCCAACTTTAAATTTTGGTCACATGTTTGGTAAAGTATAGTGACAATGTGTGTCGAGTTTCATCAAAATCGCAGATCGCATTTTTGAGAACATACCATCTGTTTAAATGTTAGTATTGAGACGGAGCAAGCCACCAATCGACCTCGCATATCTCAGAAACTATTGAGCGACCCAACTTTAAACTTTGGTCACATTTTTGGTAAAGTATAGTGACAATGTGGGTAAAGTTTCATCAAAATCGCAAATCGCATTTTTGAGAAATCACTATGGTGCATCTGTTTAAATCCTCGGTAGGCCAAACGTGCTCCTAACCTAAAACTAGGCTAGTTTCAGGTCAGAGTGCTTTGGTCCGTATTCGCCAATACCGGACTTGTTCAATTGTTGTGCAATCTCGCATATCTCGGAAAGTATCAGATGAACCCTTTCAAAATTTTTGTCACAATTTTGGTAAAGTATAGTGTCAATGTGTGCCAAGTTTCATCAAAATCGCATCATCCATTTTTGAGAACACACCATCTGTTTAATTATTAATATTTTAAATATTAGTATCAACGTCCTTATATAGTAAATGCATATCTATCTTATTGAATATGTTATCAAGTCTATTATTATTTAAAGTTATGTTTAACCTCATGGTAAAGTTAAAGTTTAAACACAACAGACAGTCTTTTGTCCGATTACTCAATCATCATGACAGTAGGCAGGAATTCAGCGCGTTTATCTCATGTTGTTCTGTATGTAAATAAGCATAATATGACGCATGAGGCGCCGCAAAACATTGCCAAACATTTGAAAGGATCTTTGCCACAGATATCTGCAGAGATATTTTAATAATATAAATATTTTTGCGGTAACAGATACATAAATTATATAATTAGTTAGTTTTTAAGTGGTGTATAGCAGAAAACTCTGATTGTTCTACTGTTCTTTAGTAGATTCTGATCTCAACCTAGAACTTTTAAGGACGTATTCTAGACTAGAAGAGTTAAGAGATCGATTTTTTCTATATTTTCAAAGTTTAACTATTCAAAAATATGTGTACAAGAGCATTTTTCAAAATTCAAAATATTTTTGAACCTATAGTTGTTTGACCACGATAATCCTCCTGTTCCTCTGCGAAATGTTAAACGCGCATTTCTCGAAACTATCTTTTTCGCTAGGATTCCCACGATTTCTCAACTTCTACTGGACCGATCTACTTGAAATTTTTACAGAGTCTTCTTTATAGACTTCTCATCAGTATGAACTAGACTCATCCCTAAATTATGATTTTTACTATTTTTTAAAAAATCGAAAATATAAAAAAAATTATTTGTCAGTCACTTGCTGTTTTGTGTTTTTTTTAACTAGTCCATAGTTCTTAAGAATTAATAATTAATTAATAGATTAATAATTCTTTTTTTTTTCAAATTATTCGCAGGTCTAAAATCTGGACTACGATCACGTGATACATTTTCGATACCCTCTATCACCTGCTAGAATTAAGACTTTTTGAATGTTTTAAATTCTTTACTATATTCTTGAAACATTAATTAATGACCAATAGAATGAATAGTAAACATATTGTTTTCACTGCCTTCCAAAAATCCCAAAAAATTCATGACTCTAGATTAGATTCCTTCTTGATTGATGATAGTTATACATACTTAAAATTTTTAGAGTCTTCTTCATAGACTCATCTCCAAATCTCATTCAATCATCATTTAAAAAAAAAAGTTTAAACGACAAATTTTATTTTCAGTCAGTCACTATTTTGTGATCTTGTTTAATTTGTCCGTAGTTCATAAAAATGCGACATTATTCTAGATTAATAATTTTTTTTACTTTAAATTATTTGGAGGACTAAAATCTGAAGCAGGTGACAAATTTTGATACCCTCTATCACCTGAATGTTTTCAATTTTTTCTGTATTTTTGAAACATTAATTAATGACTAATAGAATGCATAGTAAAAATATGGTTTGTTTTGTTTTCACTGCCTTCCAAAAATCACATAAAATTCATGCCTCTAGACTGGAATATCTCTTTAATTCGATTAATGATAGTCTACAACTTAAAGTTAATTCTGTATAGTTGCAATATATTTTGTATTGGTTTATCAATCTTAGCATCATCTAATTTCTGTATATTTGAACATTCTACTATCAGACTTTATCAAACCTTCCAAGATATATTTGGCACTTTCCAAAGAAACCAAAAGTTGAAGAACGTTTTTTTTATCTTTCCTAAACTTTTTCCGCATTGATCAAATTACTGCATTTCAGCCCAGCTTAGTACAATTTAAAGTTAATTAATTAACTTAGCAAAAAAATTTAACAAAGTTGTTGACTGAAACTGCATTTTATTTCCATGGCAGCTTTTTACATTATTTGTACATCTGTTGTTTTTGAAGTGAACCAATTAGCGTTGGTTATATTAAACTGGCGGTAGTAATTAATTTTCGCTTATGCTTCAGAGTGAAATCTCAAAGATTATTTCTTTGGACATCTTGTTTGTTCTTTGTTAGAACCATATGGTCATTATTCTTACAAGACGGATGTTGAATCTTATTTAATGCAACATTTTGAGATGCAAATGAATTGGCCAGATCACATTAATGTCAAAAATATTCATATTTTTTATATAATCACTTAATTATTTATACTGACACTAAGTTGATCAATAAAAGCTGCGGTTCTATTGGCTGTTCAGGAGGTTTGGCCAAATGCCACAAATGTTTACTATATTTAGAACAGTTATTTAATTCCTTTCGCACTCCACAATCATTTGAATTTAGAATTACTAATAGTCCAAGAGCCAGGTGCAAATTTGGTTAATTATTTCTTCTCGATAGATAATTGGCGATACGCATCAGACAACAGTATCATAAAGCCCTATGACCGTCAGCTGCGGCACAGTGGGGGGGATGAGTAATTGGAACCCCCCACGCTTGAAGAAAAAAAAAAAAAATTCACTCATTTCCTCTCGGCTAAAAGTTTATCAAGTTATAGCTAACCCAATACCTCAACCAAAAAAAAAAGTCAGCTGGTTATAACATAGTGCATTGTACGTCAGCTGATGGCTAGATCATGGGAAAAATAATCTTCACTTTCAGTGATATCCTCTCGGTTAAAAAT